CACTTTCCACTACCCCTTCAGCACTGCCTTCAGCTCTAAGGACCCTCAGGTAATAAGGACATAGAGCTTTTGGAGCAGGTCCAGAGGATGGCCACAGTAATGCTCAGAGGGCTGGAGAACCTCTCCTATGGAGGCAAGCTGAGGGAGCTGGATTTGTTCAGCCTGGAAAAGAGAAAGTTCTGCAGAATCTCATTGCAGCCTTCCAGTACTTACAGGGTCCTACAGGAAGGCTAGAGAGGGACTCCTTCTCAGGCAGCATAGTGATAGGACAAGGGGTAGGGAATTTAAACTGAGAGAGAGTAGGTTTAGATTATATATAAGGAAGAAATTGTTTATTCAGGGAGCGGTGAGGCCCTGGCACTGCTGCCTAGATAAGCTGTGGATGCCCCGTCCATCCCTGGAGGTGTTCAAGGCCAGTCTGGATGGGGCTCTGGGCAGCTTTGTGTGGTGAGAGGTGTCTGTGCCCATGGCATGAGGATTGGAACTGGAGGGGCTTTAAGGTCCCTTTTCCAATTCAAACCATTCAATGATTCTGTGCATAGGATTTATATTAGATATGCAGAGCAGACTGCCATGGTGGACGCTTTGCAGGGAGACAAGGAGAATAGACAGAACCAAGTTATATATATGAGATCAAGCATAGAGGGAGGAACTAACCCTAGAGTAGTTTGAGAATGAAATGGACACATGAACCTCAGGAAGCAAGGCAATGATGGAGTGAAGAGTTGGGATGAAAGTCTGAGAAGCCGTAGTGTGTATGTGTAGGATATGTATAGCTAATTAGAAAGATCTTTTTGGAAGAAATTTAATAGGAAGAAGGGAGATTTCACAAAAATGTAGCAAAAATGGTTGCTTCAGTCAATTATCCCTTCCTTACAAACTGTATAGAAAGCAAAACCATAACTTGGTCTGCTGACCATTAATCTTTGTGTTAGATTGTTACAAAGACAATACATGTATGATGTATTATTAACACAAAATTCCACATTTATGACACTTTGTTGTTGTGAGATAAATTCCCCATTTTGACAATAATACTAAGAATTATTATTTGTCCACTTCAGTGAGAGCAAATCCTTAGTAATATCTGAGTCTTTCACTCTATCAAGAACATTCTGAGAATTTTTAAAGATGGGAATTCAACTGCAGATCCAAAGAAAGGACAGGAGGACACTCCAAAAGTAACGAAGTTACTTTTTATTTCCATCGAAACTGCAACAGATACAGTGAGCACATAAATACTGTTTTATAGAGCAAACTCTTAGCTACAAAACACTATTTTTCAACATAGTCATCACCAATAGGTATGCCACTACCATTAGGTATTTCCACTAGCAATGAACAGGAGCCTGCATGCCACGCTTGTATAAATCTACTGCAGTGGAGACATTCAATGTCGATGTTGCCACTGCTGAAAAGCACCAGTCACCTCACTGTGCTTCATCTTCTGTTTGGTCTCTGCTGATTCAGTAAATGCTGATGAACTTCAGTGAGTGCCATTCTTTTTCACATTAATTCAATCCCATGGCTTTGCTCCAGTCTCACTTCCATGTCAGCCACCATTCTGTCAGACTGCCCCTCTGCTGCCATCTGTCACATGACAACGATGTGTAATGGGATATTGGTGGCAAGGTTCAACCTGTGCTGCCATCCCACTAACCTCTGACACCATGAGCCAACATCATACAATAGGAAGCACTGCATTTGGAGATGCCCTTCTATAAAACATATAAATGCGCTCCGAGGCACGAAGTTCCCTTGCTCATAATAAAGTGCATTTATTTAGGAACTATGAGTCTAGAGAAACTACTGAAAGAAAATCCTGAGACAAATGTAATGCCATAACTGAACAATTATAAGATTAGAAGATTTAACATCCATTGTTGTGTCTCCTTTCATACTTCTGTTAGCATTCCTTCTTTCATTTCCCATTGTTAAACAATCGAAACATTGGTTGCTCTAATGTGTGACATAAGACAAAACATTTATTCATTACAAGACAAAGAATAGCTCATCAACAAAACATACACCTTCACAAATAGATCTGAGAGGCACAGCAGATTGGAGTAATTAAAAGTTTCTCTCAAGCACTTCAAAACACAGATACCTCAGCTCTGAGTTTCATATTAATCCAGCCTTCCTTGAAGATAAAATTCAAGAGGAAGGTCCTTCATTATGGCTCAGTATTGCCTTTTCTTTAGCAACAAACATGTGAAGTGAATATGAATTAGGATGCAATCTATTTAAATATTCACTGTATGATTTGCAGTATGTGTCAGGATATATTTCACTATGAGTAAAACCTGTCAAATGAAAGGGGTCAAGAGGAAATTAAATTTATAACATGGGCATAATTAAGCACCATTCCCTGTATTAAAATCACAGCTTTTTGTCAGCTGTTTATATACCGTAGAGGTGGTGAGATCAGACTTAAAAAGACAAACCCAGCATTCAAACAAGCAAGCCTGTCATCTACACAGTAATGACAGAACAAAAAGAGAGAAGGGAGGGAGAGGAACATCTTTTTAATTATTATAATTAATCATGTTTATTACAGAAGTAATAAGGGACCAGCTAGGAATAGCCCTCAATTGTGGCAGTAAATCCAAGAGTAGGCAGTTCCTGCAGAGCTTATACTCATAGGCAAGATCAGGTAAAACTCTGGGGAAGGTGTCATAAACCAAAATGGAGAGCGTTATAGAGAAGGTAGACCTTAACACATTTTCCATAGGGCTCTTTGCCTGTTTCCCTAAATAAGTTGGCCCGGAAGATCATTCTTTCTGTATGCCTTTTTTGTGTGTGTTGTGGTTTAACCTGGCAGGTAGCTCGGCACCATACAGTTCTTCGCTCTCTCCCCTCCTCCCAGTGGGACGGGGCAGAGAATCAGGGGAAAAAACAGTAGAATTCATGGGTTGAGATAAAACTATTTACTAAGATAGAGAAATGAAAATGGATAATATTTCTGACTATATGTACATATATACACACACGAATGTATATAACAAGTGATGCACAAGCAATTGGTCACCACCCCCCAACTGATGCCCAGCCAGCACGTGAGCAGCAGAAGAGAGACGTGAACTTTCACCCCCTTACTCCCACACTAGTGACTCTTTCATGTCCCAGTTGGGTTAGTCAGTACTTGTGTGCCTGGATGCTGCGTGTGGCCAGCACAGAGCTTGGCACAGTGGTGCCTGCATGACTGAGGAGGGAAAGGCTGGCATCGCGCTGGTGACATCTGCTAGGAGTGTAAATTTTCATAATCCCCTCGTGCCATCCCTTCCTTGTGTTTCATGACTTGTGGTTATGAAAATGCCCTGTGCAATACTGAGGCTATGCAATGCAACTGCTCATGCATGTGACTGAGAAGACAAGCAGATGGGAATCTGCCTCTGCTTAGATCATCCTTTGTCATAACAAGTAATTGTATCTCCTGAGTTGCATATGAACACGGAGTGTTTGTGGGGTTGAATGTACAGGAGGCAGGGCTGTTGCTGAGTTGATATGGAACCGAGACATGCTGCAGCTTGTTCATCATTTCACTGGTATCTCAGCATCAGGAAAGAATGCTGATCTGGTTCAATGCGTGCAGTTGACTGTAAAATTCTGTATTTCTCATTTGTAGCATTTTGTTTTAAACAGGTGTATTTTCTGGTTCTTGCTGCAGTTTCAGGCCATGATTAAATGGAAGCAAAGCAGGACATGGGTACAAAATGCCAGATCCATGACACGATTGCACTGATCACATCTCTTCCCTCACACAGAGGGGGCTGAGCCAGCAGTGGGCCAGGCCTGATGTTGCAGGGACAGGCCAAGGCCTCTTCATAAGTAGAATATGGACTTTCCTGGAGCTGTCTTAATCATTCCTTTCTGGCTTTTCTTGGCCACATTTCTGATCTGTAGCAGCGAATTGCTAACGAGCTCATCCCCACAGGGGAAGTGTGCTCATGGTCAGTGGTGAGACCATGGTTGATTCCTTCTCATTTCTACTGAGAAACATCTGCAGAAATAACTGCAGGACAAGGGGAAATGGTTTTAAGTTGAGGGAGGGGAGATTTAGGTTGGATGTCAGGGGGAAGTTCTGTACTATGAGAGCGGTGAGGAGCTGGAACAGCTGCCCAGAGAGGCTGTGGATGCTCCGTCCATCCCTGGAGGTGTTCAAGGCCAGGTTGGATGGGGCCCTGGGCAGCCTGGGCTGGTATGAAATGGGGAGGTTGGTGGCCCTGCATGTGGCAGGGGGTTGGAGATTCATGATCCTTGAGGTCCCTTCCAACCCAAACCACTCTGTGATTCTATGTTTCTATAAATAAAGATTCAGAGTCATTAAAAAACTGTGTGAGATAGCAAACAGGAAAAGTGGTCGTAGCCAAACTTCTTTCCTCAGAGGGCTACAATGAGAGAAAGAGGTGAGGTGACCACAGTGGTCCTTTGCAGACCTCCAGTGAGTTAACAAAAGAAGGAATGGGTGGAAGAGGAGTTTCCACCTGTAAAATGTGATAATTAACATCCAAGCAGAAATGACCAAGAATCCTCATCCTCAGCTGAGTTGTTGACCATATTTGGGTGGAAAAGAGGGTGCTGTTAAATGAGAAAAAGAAAAAAAAAGAGATGAGTGGATCACACAAGCAGTGAAGAGAAGCTGAGCAACAGGGATCAAGGGCAAATGAAGTAGGGAGCAAAAGCAAAAGAGGGGGGAAAGCAGAATAGCTGAACAGTGTTTTGTGAAAAACTGTCTGCCAGCGGTAGCTCTCAGGCCACTTTGCTAGGATCACTTGCAACGGCTGTTAATCACCTATTCCATAGTAGTTCTCATTATTGTAACAGGAGCCAGCTCTAGTCTACACCTCTCTCACCTTCAGTAGCACTGATCTCTTTTCTTTGCTTCTCTTGAACACAGCTTGAAATTCAAGAACTTCAGTCTACAGAGCATTTCAAGGGAGAAAAAGAGAATGTTTGATTTAATTTTAATTAAACAAAAAAAAATTTTATTGCCTGAAAAACCTTCAGAAATTTAGAGACTTTAGTGAAAATTATTCTAATTGATTAGGTGTGAACTTAGTCACTTGAAAACATTCTGGAACAACAAGTGAAGTTGTAAGTGTAAAACAACAGGACAAATGAGTGTTTCATGCATGTACTGAAACTGCTGAAATGGTTTCTGCAGTACGATGCTCGTAGCACAGCTCTAGCGCTCTATTCTGAAAATCTCAGCCCTCTGCGTGGAAACAACAGTTCCTTTATACTGTTTGAATAAGATATACAGAGAAAGGTTCAAAGCCACTTACATGTCAGGTAAATGTGGACCAGTTCCCAGTCCTGAATTACAGGTACAGTGCAGGTAGAATGCATTTTTTTCAGTGCACCATGACAGCTTTTGATCTTTGTGGTCAGATAAACCTGCTAGAAGCTTTTGAGAAGGCAAAAGGAGCAGCTGATAGCCCACAAAGACCTTTTTCCATTTAGCGTGCCTCTTCCATGCTTGCGTAGTATTTAAACCTGTGATGAGAAAGACAAAACAACCATTCCTGCCCTCCTGAAATGTTACCAATAATCTGCCAGAGCTGTCCATTTGCCCATACATTGGATTTTAACCTAGTTTCATAAACAAGCACAGCTTTCACAGTTGTGCTCTAGGGTGTCCCTGTCTGTCAGGCTTACAACTCTTTCTATCTATTTTTAATCCCTGAGCTAATGTTAGCTAAATGCAACAGATTTTTAACACCATGAGCAAAGGACAGTCTGGTAAAAAGACTGTACTGTGAATTCAGTCTTCATAAGACAGAGAACCTTTGTGGTTCACATACCTGCTGCTTTCAGGTACGTTCATCCCAATCTCTTCTTCCCTTTTTAAATAGAAATGACTTAGCAAAACCATTCAGTCATACATCCTCACATGTTACCATGGGATCATAGCATCTGGAAAGAGGGAGTCCTTGATTGTCAAATTCATGCAACATGAAATTATTTGTTTCATTAGAGTACTTGGCTTTCCCAAATGAAACAGTCTGGGTTGGCTCTTCACACAAAATCAGTTGGAACAACTCCACTGCATTCAGCTCGCTGGTTCATAGCAGCACAGGCTGCTGTCCTGTCTTCTTCTGTACACGTGTCACCTACAGAATAGTATAACAAATTTAGAAATATGATGGATTTCAGAGAAGTCCGATGGCAGTGAGGCAGCGTGATTGTTTACATGTTTTCCTTTGGGTTCCAGTGGTGATAGAACTGTTAACTTGAATAATGAATAATTTATGATTTAGCTGCCAGCATCAGTACATCTTAAAGGAATGACAGGCGTTGTTATTCATGTTCTTAACATGTTTCCTGTATTTTATTCCACATTGTATTTCAGTGCTTGGTTGCTGGGATTTAGAGTAGAGGACACTAAACAGAGCACTGCTTTTGTCATGTTTCAACATGAAACATCAAATGCAGAGCGTGAGTCCACTGAGCACTTCCAAATAATGAGAGACTGATGTTCACAAGTCTTTCCAGTGAAATGTCAAATTTCTCATACTATGAAAATGATCTTCGCCAACATAAGCTTGAAAGCAGATAATTATCCAAGAACATGAAACAGAATTAACATGCACTGGAGCATGTCATGAAAATTTCCTTCAGCAAATAGAGTAATTGCTGTCTCAGTACAAAGCAAGGAGAAAGGTTGGCTCTGTTCTTTTGATGATGTAGAGTAGCCACTGTTTACTTACCTAACTCATGAAAACACACAGCTTGTCAGAAGGATGCCATTCAAGGACTGATGGAGTGCATCCAGCCTCCTGATTGCAGGCACGTCTCAGTTCCTCATTCCCAAGTCTGATCAGACAGGAGATTCTTGGCTATTATTAGATACCTAAAACCTGATGAGTTAGAACTCCTGGTCAAACAGTGTTTGCAAACTATGCAAAACCCCAGCAAAAAATTAACACATTTTTTGAGCCACGTTTTGTCTTCAAGCACAGCTGGGATGCTTCATTCTTAGTCTAGAGGAAAGAATGGACATCATGGGATAAGTAGACATAATCTGCCCATACAGAAATCAGACAAGTAAGAAAATAACTAAAATGGCTAGTAGGAGAGGTTCTGGTTTGTGATTTTGATTTTACAAATCAATTTTCTAATATTAGAAACCAGCAGAATGGAAGCCTGGAAGAGAGCTGCTGAAATATCACATGCAGCTCATTGACACCATAGGCAACTTTTCAGTTTCATTCAGCCAAATCTTGCAAATACATGACAATTTTTGTACCCATCTTTCTCTTAGTAGAGTTCTTGCACAATGATTAACTGATATATAAAAAGCTTGCTTCTCATCTTTATATTTCTATGTTAGTTTTATTCTCAGAGATCTCTCCACATTTAAGGGAAAAATATATTTATAGACAGCAATCAGATTATCTCAGTCAACATTCAAAGAAGTCTCTTTTTTTTTTTTTTTTTTTCTTTTGGTCATTTCTTTAGCCCTTCTTTAAAGTTAACCCACTTGAAACTCACTTCTTCCAAAAATGGAGAAATGATGTCTGAAGTAATGCAGAACAGGCTCATTTGTGAGAGCATGGGAGATGACTTGATAGGCCTGGCTTGGTACCTTGCTGAGACACAGGTTGTTCATCTCCCAGCTTTTTGCCCTTGCTATTCCAGTCCTAAAGCAGGATTAAAATTATTACAAAGAATAAGTGCAGCTCCAACTTGTGATATCACAGTCCCCCATCTAATTTGTGCATGGATGCTGCACTCCATGTCTGTGTCTAGAGGTGTTGTAGCTCACAGTTTTCTTGCAGTGTGCAACAACTACTTTTGGCACTGGCACTCCTAACAGCCCTCTGCCTTTGAAGGTTTTGTGTCAAAAAGCCCCTTTCCCAAAAGTGAACTGTTTGGCAGAGCCAAAGAACTGTCTAAATGCAGCTTCTGCATACTCTTCACCAATAATGGCATTGTTTATCTTAGATTTTTGTTACAATTGCCTTTTAACTTCAACAAGATGCAGGAAGTCTCAATGTAATGAGAATTTCATTAGCTATAGGCTCTATTTTCAGACTATACATACAGCAGTTTAAAAAGCAGAGTTTATTTTTGGAGAACACTACAATAACTACCTAAAAGTGAAGGGAGTGCCTGTGGCAGGGACTAACCCAGATGTATGTATTAGGCACACCAAGCACTGGGTGAGTAGGGTATATTACATTATACCAAAAGTTAACTGATTTTCATGAAGTGAGGTACAACGTAAAGGAGGGATAACTACTTGCTTCCTTGACCTGTCTTAGTGAATTCAAAAGAAAATGTCTTAATGCATTTTAAACAGCTGAAGTACTTGGTTAAAAGAGATCATTAACTAGAATAAGTCCTTTTTTATTTGTGCTTAGTTTACATAATTCACAATTAATACTTTCCAGGGAAGGTATTACAAATCTAAACTAGGAGCAGTAAC